GGCCGCGGGACTGCGGATAGCTCGCCTTTTATATCACCACTGTTGGGTGTAGGCATGGGTATTCAGATGCTCGCCAATGCACAGTTCGTCAAGCAATGTCAAGCAAACAGGCATCCGATTGACACCACAAAGATGGAGTAACTATGCCCAGTCTGGCTTGGCCAGATTTGGAAGGCGTGATTGCTGTGAAAGTCGAGGACTCACTCAGCTTTCATATCCACGTCACCAGCCGCTCACACAAGTCAGGGTGAACCAAAGACTGAAGCGAAGCGTCGTGGACCAGCGCGGAAACCAGCCGCGAAACAAACAAGCAACATCGCTACAAGAAAGCATCAATATGACAATCTCCAGCAGGGACCAAGCAACCGTGCATGGATGGGCAAACTTTGGAACATGGTATCGTTGGTGTGGTCGATGGTACCACTCACACACCCCATACTCGATCCACTTTGCCCATGTTCAACCACCATGTTGGCTGGATGTAGTTATTATTTAATGGTATAGTAGGTAACGTTGGTAGGCTATGTGTGTGTTGTGTTGTGTTGTGTTGTGCTGTTGTGTGCATGTGCAGAGTATCGAGCACACAGTCAGTATGTACACCGCATTTCAACACCTCAATTGCAACCACGACTTCTCCCGCTTCGTTCACCGGCAGCATCTGGACACATCAAGGCCCACTGGTTCAATGTTGGGCCTTCTTCACGCATCACCAAGAGACCCCAGCCTGTCTGGTAGCTGTTGAGACAGCATGCATCTAATTTGGCATACACACACTGCATGTACTACATAGCTCTCGATAGCTGGATCAAGCAGTGAATGTCTATCTGCTCCGGGCACGGTTGCCAAATGCGGCCGGTTTGCAATGTACATGTGAGACCTTGTCACACGGCGTGAGACTCAACCATAGATGTATTCACTGCTTGCTTGTCAACCCGCCTACCAAGATGGATCCGTGGCCTTTTGTTATAATGCATGTGTGTATGTGCGCTGCTGTCTGGCATGCAATTCTCGAAAGTAATGTCGGGCCAACAAATTGTCAACCATTGGCGTTCCGATTCTATGAGCACGACGGAGGTCTTCTGGGCGAACAAATGGGGCCTCGACTGATGTACTCCAAGCCTTCTTCCAGGCACGCCTGAATCGCCAGTCGCATTTCTGTTACGTAGTATTTGCAAAGTTCTTGGTTTGCCTTTGGTCTTGGTTACCACCAGCCTCCAGGTGCGGTGCCCGACTACCTCGCAACGCCTTCTCAAGCACAAAGCATCCATCACGATTCATGTTCAGGGTCGGGTCGATGGGTACCAAGTCGTTGGTTTAGACCTGTCCACTTTGAACATCACCCTCCAAAACACCTTGAGGGCGAGGATCCCGACTGCATGGCTGTGGCACATGCCGTCTGCAGCTCCGACTCCGAGCCGCACTGTTCCAGGTAGATGGGCTGACAGGGGCCTCAAACCTAGAATGTATGTACTCCGTACCTGCATGCATATTGTGGTAGTATTGGTATTTGGTATTGTGGTACTCTGTACTCCGTATCGGGGCATAAATGCTTCCTACAATATGAGGGTCGACTTCCAGGGTTCTGGTTCCCTGGTCCATATTCTCGGGTTCCAAAGTTAACGGGACCCTACCCCTCTGGCTTGCTGTGCCTTCTGGGGTATCTTTCTCCTTTCTATCGCCCGTGCCTCAAGCCAACCCTACTCAAGAGCCCAGCCGCGTTTCCACTCAGTAGGTGGCTACGGGGCATCGTATCCGATAGGGGTCGAGGGCTTAATACATGCGGGTCCCTGAGTCGTCCATTGGCATAGGGAAGATCGAAGTCGGTGATGCCACTCTAGGAACTGCCATCTGAGTGCTCAAGGATCTGGGTATCTAGGCAATGGCATGGCATTAGTTTCCACGTATGTGCGGTGCACGTCCTGGGCATTGAATACTGACGAGAACTTGTATGTACACATGGAGGTGCGTTAAAGGGAAAAGCAAAAACTGTAGGTGGGAAATGCACGGTATGCAGCCCTGCATTAGTGCAAGTAGTGCAAGTACGCATATTGTGCACACCGCAACCTTAGAATTCTATTCCGGAACCTTCCCCGGGCACGGGCACCAGACGCTCTATCCCCAACAACAAACCCCAGATACTACCAGACCCATTGTGTTGTATATAGTATTTTTGGTTTGTAACCACACAACAGATGAGACTTGGTTTTTTCTTTTCTTTTGCATTCGCGCACCCATGTTGAGTAGTAGTATTCACCCGCCGAGCACACTCCGGCGGGCGACGGCGGTGACGCGTTGAGCACCCCATCCGCCTCGAGCTTTGCAAGTTGCTACTATCTGTAATAATCGGCGCCCAGCATACGAAAATGATAATGTTCGGTCTCAATCAGTCGGTCAAGACTATGGCCAGGATTAGCTGGCTTGTCAACAGCCTACTGCATGTTACGTGCCCCATACTCGTGTATACCATCAAGCCGTACGTAGTACGTCCAAGTTCTCTGTAACCATACTGGTCCTCGTTTATGAAGCGACTCAAGGAATTGACTCGTCAGTCTTAGATTGTTGCGAGAACTAAAACTGCGCTCGCAATCATGATTATCTGATATCCAAGGGGTATCCAGCTGAGTGATTATCCCCCACAATCCAAGTCCCGGCCTTGACAGGCAATTCGCCATGGCGCACCTCTCGGTACTAGGTATCCGCGAACACGTACGTGTAGTGACCATGTCATTCAGCCTTGGCTATCAAGACTTGATATTGCAACAGTCAATTGTGAAAAGAATGCTCTGCAATGCCCCCTATAGGCCCTCTCCAATCCCTAGTCTAACGCTCGTCGGTCAATTAAATGCCATGTAGCAGGATCGTAAGAGAACCAAATTGATCCGCGATGATGGCGCGCAGCCCTCTGAACAGCTATCTGAGATATACTCCGTATTGATCCAACATTAGTTATACAAATACCTAGTCTGCAATGCATCACATGGAATAGGAAATGTTTCCATAGAAAGAACCAGGCTTTCTATCCAAGCCTTGATGTGCAACTCATTGCATCCGAGAGTAGCGGACAGGCAATGGCTTTCGCATCCTGGTGAGAAATCGCCTGAGCATTAATGTCCCTTATCTGTCAAGAGTCCGTTACTTCGAGAGTGGGCTCAGAATTTGAGGTTGCTATGAATGCCACCAACTCTTCTCATCACCTTTGGTGAGTAGCCGAATGCACCCATTGCTTCATGTCGTCGCCGTTTTCCAAGTACGAAACGTATGACACGGTCGTACATACGGAGTACACGTTTGCCATATTGGCACACCGAGTGAGTCGTGTTTCGGCATTTGGAATACTCGAGGGCATGAACGACAACTACTCTAATTCAAGCAACGGAAGGGTGGCTACCCCGGCCAAGGACAAGGATTGTTTTTCATGCACGTGTATGATTCGACATGGTACGTAACTGCACTGGTCTTTGGCGTGGGCACTTCTCTGGACCTCTGTATAGGCTCTGGATTCGAGGCTCGTAATCCATGTGTAGCAGGGCGTACCTGGCATAATGGGCTTACTAGGCTATGCTAGCTCTCGGCCCGGGCCTGTTCGGAACCGTATTCTAGTCATGATTTCAATGCAGGTATCGTTAAGGTGTGGCTGTGCTCCACCTGCTGTTGGACTGTTCATCATGCCCTTCTACTTGGGTGTCGGTCGTGGAATACGTTACACGAGGCTGCCCCGGTAGTTTAATAGTCCTTGATTCGGAGCAGATGTTGCCATAATCGAGGTGGTTTCCAAAGGGAAAAAGACCTCTATATTGAAAACTTCTTATCGGTTCCTGGGCGGGCGAGTATTTGATAATATAAATTATGCATCATGTGTCGCCTAGTAGTTTCAAGAGAACGGAGGTGCGTGTGATAGGGGTCGACTCATGCAGTTTTCTCTCCAAGCTGAATTCACTCTGGGTGTCCACGCCAATGGTACGAATTATTTGCGTATAAATTGATCGGTTGACTATGTGCCCCGGCCCACTACTGGTCTTGGATATCTCGGTGGCCACACCTGGGAAACAGGAGTTGACAGGCTTCGCTGGTCACCCAAGACAGGTTCATCGGGTAACGGTCACGAGTGGAAAACTGCCATTGGACAGTATCGAATCAAGTCCCTACTTAGTCCCGGCTCCTTTCGCTTGCCACGATAGATAGGAAACTGACACAATACTGTCGTATTGTATGTTCAATCGCAAAGTTCATCAGCAGCTGTTGATCCAGGGCTTCATCCTCGTAAACGGTTCAGCATTATCCAGATGCCAGTGTAGGGGCATGTATGAGACGGAAACTGCGCTGTAACGCCCAATTGCATTCCGCCGCGGCATGATTATAGCGGTTGTTTGAGGCGCACGCTCCGCTGACAGGAAGCATCGTGGCACGGCCGTTCCAATTATTTCGTATGTAAGAAACAACGGCTTGATGTAATGGCTAGGAAGATGCTGCCCTAGCGCCATACTATGAAAGCGGGTGTCAGAGCGGATATGAATTGAGAAAGTAGCATCGCCACTCTTTACCGAGTTATGCTGTTAGCCCCTTGTACTTCGCTTAGAGCACTCTGAAGCTCTGTGACCAAGTTGTTGGCAGTTGTAGCACTTTATTGCCTTTGTGCTTGGGGATCCTTGGGAACTGAAATTTCCATTGCCAACAGAAGAGATGGAAGTCAGCTTATTTAAGCGAACTTCCTTCTTTTTTCTCTTATCGCGAAATTCCTTCGCCTTGGAAGCTTGATGGCTATGTCGTGACCGCGACTGTGACCGAGATCGGGAGGTTGCCATTCTCTTATTTTCGTCTGACGATCCAGTCGTATGATCTCGGCCAATGGAGTCGCTTTCGTCATCAGAGGTTCGACGTGACTCGTCGCCAGACTTGTCGGAGTTACAACGCTCGTTTGACTGCTTGCGCCTTGTTAGTAGAACCATTTGCAAATTTGCAATGTGAACTCTAGTTCGTTCTCTTCGGCGATTTCCAGGCTATCAACGCACCTGTTCTGTTTTCAGAGGTTTGTGATATGTTCTTCCCTCTGCAGGATTGTCCTCATTTTCATCAGAATCCTTGGACGCGTCGATGTCGCCATATCCTACGTAAACAATATTCAGAGGATGCGACTGCTTCTTGTCTTGGGACTTGTCAATATTAGTTTTCAAAACCCAATGAGTGTCAGCAGCAGAATGCTTTGCTAGCGCTGCTTGACGTGTGGCTTCTTGATCATTGAGAGCTGCTTGTATCAAAGCATGGTCAATGTTAGGATTAATGCGGCCAGGTGCTGGAGAATAATCTAATTTTCGCTTCTTGGACGAAGGAACATCTGAGCCCGGAGATCCGTTAGACGAAGCAGATGCGGCTGCACGCTGCATAAACTTCATCGTCAGGAGTCTTGACGAGACGCCTTTGGGTGTTTCTGGAGCCATTTTGTGGATGTCGAATGAAAGGGTAGAAAATAACAATTCGACGTGAGCGAATAGAGGTTTTTAATTCTTCCTAAAGTCGCTGAAACACATACACCAAAAAAGAAGCAGAACAATGAAATGCCGATACAGACGGGCAAGTTATTTGTTTCTCTAGGTTGGGTGGAAGACTTGGGCACTGAGCTTTTCAGAGTGCAAGCTTCACCTGGAGCTTTTTTTTAAGGATCCCGGAAGAATAATTATTCCGGCACATCATCTTGGGGGATCGAGTAGTACTCCCGACCTCACGCCTAGAATATCTTCTAGTGCAGACCTGTAACCGACAACACTGCGGATTTCGTCTTCGAAACTATGGCGTCCTCTCAATTGAGATCGATTGGCGCGTTCGCACGCCAATTGCGTCTTCCCCGACGTGCATTTACCACCACTACTCGCCAACTCGAGGCTGCTGTCCCTGCAACTTCCAGAACCGAGACTGCTCTAGCAGAAGAGAGTCAAACCAAGCCTATCGAACAGGCCCCAAACCGTGTTGATGTTTGGTCTCGCAGCCAGAAGCCCCGGTCGAATGCTATGACCGGACCTCGTTTTGAACAGACCGACTTTGATCTCCAGGTGAGCGGCCATGCTTGATTTGCCTCGGCATTGTAATGCTAAATGACGGGCAGCCTCAACCTCTGTCGGCTATGGAAATGATACACAAGGAGCCTGTCCGGTGGACACATGATCGCATCGTAGCCTGTGATGGAGGCGGCGGCCCTGCCGGCCACCCTAGAATTTTCATCAACACTGACAAGCCTGAAATCGCGACCTGCAACTACTGCGGTGTTCCCTATGTATGTCACCCAGAACCGTTTCGTATATGCCAAGGGAATCTAACCGAGGAGGAATTAGGCCAATGAGCACCATCGAAAGCACCTAGAGTCCCTCCCCAAGACCTCATATCCTTTGTCATGATTGCGCCAATTCAGCGCGCCATGGAGAGATGAATGGGGCACTTGGGTTTCTTGACAATGTGCAATATAAGATATGAGTGATAGGACTGATTGGAGAGCCGCTGTATTACTTTGCATGCAACCATGCCGAGGATGGGGACTCAATGTATATATTTCCACGAATAGATGTGTGGTTAGCTGATACCTTACCAGCGCCCCTTCAGCTAGTCGCCATGACATGTGCTACTACGATTTATCACAATTCTCGCGCAACGAGGTTATACAGGGCACATTTCCCCACCTCTTGTTCTCCTCGACTAGCACAAATCATTGTAATGATGTATTATATAGAATGAGGAATTGAATTTCAGTGCGCAAGCACTTCAAACATTAGTGTACGGAAGCTACCCTACTGCCCTATTCGGATTTTAATATGGTCCTCAAAGCGATGATTATAAATATTAAACAGACTACTCCCAGTCCACTGATTCTTCCCCTTATTGCGTCATACGTACCGCCAAACATCCAGTCAACGAGCAACCCAAATGACCATTTGGAAAGGTCTCCCAAACTTCTCATAGACGATGTTGCCATTCGGTTTCAGAGCTTTTTTGCTCGTTTATCATCAACTGTGCTCGCCCTAGCAGTGAACATGTTGCCCCAGCCTGTATCAAGCACTGCGACAAACGATTAACATATAAAAGTCAGACTCAATGGAGGCCCTAGCTCAGTAAGCGTAATCGGCGCGGCGCATGTATGAATAATGGCCCCCTAAAGATCCAGACACCAGAGACTTCCCATTGACATGGAGTTGCCAACCGGAGTTTAAGCTGGCCAACTGGAAGCTGGTCCCCGTCTTTATCGCGAGAGCTGGGGGGGTCCGGTTTAGCAACCTTAAGTACTCAAGTACCTAAAGAGAAAGTTGATGCTGGTATAGTTCACATGCAGAACGTTGAGTGACGGTAACATGCGTTAGCTACTTAGACCTACCGGTACCTAGAAGTTATCGCACCAAAAAATGGGCGTGGCCACATGTATTGATGTGTTAGTACCCTTTTATTGCGCGACAGAAGTTACGTAGTGGTCAGCACACGATGGCGACCCACCAGCCAGTTAGGACCCGGATCACGTGGAGGGCCTATCAAGGAGTGCCCAAAGCACCCCGAGCGTTAAATTTTTGAGAGTTATCAAGATTAGTTCAAATCATCAAATATGAAATGAAAAAAATAAAAACAGAACGTTTACTTCTAAAAATTCTAATAAAATAAATCCATCACTTATTCAACTTTATCCGGATTCAGTCTAGTTCACGGAGTACTCCAGAAGATAAAACATTTTATTGACCCAAAGGTGACCTTGACCACACCAGCTATATGTACTAGTTGACACTAACTGGCCCCGAACAAGCCCTTATCGCGTGTGACGGCTGCAACATCGAGATGACACAGCACACATCTCAACATATATCTCTCACCACAACCATTGTGCTTATTCTAGTCCTCTTACTCGCATTCTTCCCGAACTTGTTCCACAGTATCTGGACCCTTCCTTTTACCTTGATCCCGTTCTTCCACTCCTCATCGAAGGGATATACCGGAACCGGAACAATGACGTGGTTCCAGAAGCAGTTCACTCTCCCCGCCAAGTCTCGCGGCTCATACCTCATCACCGACCAGGTCGTGTCTAATCTTCCCGAGATTCGGAACTACAAGGTTGGCTTGCTGAATTTGTTTGTCCAGCATACCAGCTGCGCGCTGAGCTTGAACGAGAACTGTACGTGAGGTTGTACCGGACCTTTCTGGGTGCGACTTTTCGCTTCAAAGCATCGCCTTGTCGCTTTGTGCAACGTCTGAAGCTGATTCGCGATACAAGGGGATGAGGACGTGAGGGCAGATATGAGCGACGCGCTTGATCGCATTGCGCCGGCCGAGGGGCCAAAGGGCGAGGCCTTGTATCGCCATGAGTAAGTCCAGGCTTTGCGGTTCTTGGCACAAGGTCACGTCTGATGCGTTTGGATTGTAGTGCCGAAGGTCCTGATGACATGCCTGTAAGGAAACAGATTTGCAGAGATTGCATTTAGCAGTCCTGGAGACTAACGTGCCTTTAACAGGCTCACATCAAGTCGGCACTGATCGGAGCTAGCGTGACCATCCCGATCAAAGATGGAAAGCTTGTATGTTGAATAGTGATGCAAATATGCCCAAGCATTCTTCAATATTATGCTAACACGCCCAAAGGCTACAGGCACCTGGCAAGGTATCTGGTATCTCGAGTTTCGGGCCAGCAAGCATCAGCGTCGGATTATGGCTACCATTCAGGGAGAAAAGGCATAGAGAAATAAATTAAATCAATGGCTGAATTAAATGCAAGAAGGAGCCACGTTGTTTTAGCACACGGTCTCCATTGTCTATGATACAACGGTTGTAGTAGTGATTTCGCCGAACGCCATCGCCTTTTACCTATTCCAACGCACCATAACCATCACCTAAATTGTACCATTCTCTTCCTTCATTTCCATGTCTTCGCCAGCCAAAACTTTTGTCTTGGGTACATAGCCCTCGGGGGGACCAGCACCAGGTGTCATGGCCACAACATTGCCATCTTCGTCAACAAACTCAAAATTGTAGCGGCTGAGAAGATGCGGAATTGCTGAGAGCTGTGGTCCATATCTAGCAGTGTTGTCGTAGAGCTCGAAAAGCGGTACTGCAAGGAGCTTCATATTCTTTGGTACGCTCAACACTTCTATCAGATCAGGCGGGTTAGTAGTCGACTCTGTGGATTCAGCAGGGCGTGTCTTGGGACATACTTGTTTTGGGCAAGTGAATGAAATAGAGTTTCTTGCATTCCTTTGGCCGTGTGACATGGGCGGGAACAAAGGGATACATGAAGGTCTCGAAGTTTGGTCGCCACCATTGCGCGAGGCAGTCACCAACTTCCCAGTCCCCAGCTTCTTCGCCTTCACCTATCCGGCCCACAGGGGCCAATCTTTCGTCTAATCTAGCCTTGAAGCCTGCTTCCTCGTCGTCTTCGGGCCGCAGATAGTCTCCAGGGAGCTTGAAAAAGGCGTTTGCGATCTGAAGCATCAAAATATGCGGGTGGTTGTGCTCGTGGCACACGAGGATGCCCTCACATGTACGACGCATGCCATGCTCAGAAAAATGCTCCTCCAGGCGCTTGAGCCTTGCAATTACAGAGGGGTCTTCTTCAGGCTGTGTCTCCTTGACACCGAAAGTATAGTTTGATAGAGGGTACAGTGTGACCTTGTCTGGCTGCTTCGAGTTGAAATCAAGCGGTATGATGGGTGGATAGGCGGACTGCTGCGCAGAGGGCGGTATTGTTGACATTTTCGAGACAATTCGGTCGAGTCGGTAAAGAGTGCCAGTGTTTGTCTGAAATTGAGGTATTGATGTGTGCGCAACGTTATGTGGTCATGGGCTTTCACAGTTGTGTGGGCAAGAGTGTAATCTGGCGGTTTGCTTGCTGAGCTTCATAAATGTAAGCTTCAGGGCAGCCTCGTACCTGGCAGAAGGCGTTGCTTGCGACGGCAACGACGAGGTGGTTGCAAAGGGAAGGCGGTGTGGGGGGCCTACCAATTGGCCGAGTCCCTGGCGATTCAGTTCAAACACCAACATAAAGTACTTAAGTACCAAAGTATCAGGCTTTAAGCGCTAGCATGTACTCCGTAGGCCGTTGTTCTTTGGAGGATCACGACCACCAAGTAAATACTCGATACGCCGTAACATGTCACGGATTTTAGTGTCGACTCTGCAATATCCAGGCGCTCTATAGATAAATTGCTTTTCATTTCAGCTGTCTTTTGTGATACAAATCATGAACAACACTTCAAGTCGATACAAAGGGGGCATACATGCAACCACAAACAAGTCAGCAGATGTCCGGATTAAAAAGCTCGATGCAGCACAGCCCTGCTTGGATATTCTCGAACAATGCTGTGTCTCCTTTGACCAGTCCTGATTTGAAGGCTCCGTCTAATATAGTGGCACGCGTGACTCTTCTTCGTTCATCCCATCACCCGCATTGTTCGGTTTGGGCTGTGCAGAAGTCACATGCATCGTCATGCTTCAACGGTACCAGACCCGACAACCAGTCGAACTCGACGACATTGGCCGTCAGCCTCACCTACGGCCAGTCTCGGCTGAAATAGCGGAAAGTACGGAGTATGTGCAGCTGGCTTCTCGGGGCTGTGGAATGGTGGCATGGCCAGTGCTGCAGTGGCACTCGAGCATGCATCACCCGTTGTCGCGCTGCATGTATATGTAGTAGGCAGCAACCGACTTGGCAAGGGACAGTGTTGCGACCATTTCACCTGAATGGTTCCAGTAGGCGTACTGAGATGATGAGGAAATCATACTGTCGTCGTAGCGAGTAGGGCTGAGGCCGTGTTGAGCAAACCAGCTGCAGGAAAGTGGTCATGATAGTTCTAGGTAGATTAGAGGCGGCCCATGTCTGGCAGTATGCTCGAGTCCCTAGGCTGCATAAAGTAAGTACTTAGTAGACAGTTTTGCCCAAATGGACCAGCAGTATGCTGCATTCTTTGAGAACCCTTGCGTTTGCAATGTTGTTCGGTTGTTCTCTTGCGGAGCGAGTAGATCAAACCACATGCGCAATGAATGTACTTTACGGTTGTCACCGAAAATACGGAGTACGTACCATGCCCAGACACGGAGCCGCTTCTGGACAAGATTGAATCTCTGCCGTGGTTGAGCCAAGGCACCAAATCTATCTGCCCAAGTACTCCGTACCTGGCCGCCTTTCCTGGCTGCCTGGCACTGCTAAGTTTGCTTCAGCACGAGACACCGTCTTTTGACAGGCCACATGTGCAGGCCGGGCTCATGCGCACCAGGTCGATCCTGCCAACCCCATGTGCAGCTTCTCCTAGTGCCAGGCGATTGTCCTGACATCGAACCTACCCCGCCACCTTCCATCTCCGGAACCGCTGATCCCTCCACATCATTCACGCGAAGCCCATGAATCCAACCTCCGCGGCGTTATACTGGTACTCTCCCGTCATTTCCTGCTGGCGAATACTCTGCTGGCATCGCGCTGTTCTTTTCCATCTAGGGCGGCATCAATTACCCGGCGCCTTGTGTTGCGCAACTGCTTTCCTGTTGCCTGCTCTGTTGCCTAGCCGCAGCACAGAGAGCGCAGGCACAGTGTACTCACATTGACTATGCGAGGGACAAGTACGAACACAACTGCTGGGTTGGGCGCCGTTGATGACCTGCCCGTCCTGTCAGAACCAGACCTCTCCGTCTCAACAGCACCGGCATTTAGTGCTGGATCCGCGGATGGTGCCGGATCATCAATATCGTCGGAGAAAAGCGACTCGAAACCACCCAGAAGCGCAATGCGACGATCGTCTAGTATTCCCAAACTTCCACAGAGCCCGCGTCGAGTACGGTTTGATTTCATGGGCGAAGAGGTGCTCCCAACAACATCTCCTCAGCCTAGTGCATTCATTTCTGCACGCATTTCTTCACCCGACCCTATGGGCGATGGAGCAAATTGCACTTCTCGTCTTGCCACAGAGCCTGGAGAGGAGGAGGATGAGGAGGAGGGAGAGCAAGCACCTCGTAAAGTCTCGTCATCTGACGCACTGCGGTTTCTGTCCAGGGCTCCCTTGGAGGAGGATGGAACTGTTTGGACAGTAGTCAATTCAGACCCGGACGAAGCTGTGCCGGATCAGCCGCATTCCTTGCAAGAGAGCCAGGCTGTTGACACTGCCCCAAGTATGCCAACCACTATGATGACCACACCGGACACGAATGTCTTGGGACCAACACGGACTGCCACAACACCCGAGCCCAGCCGTAAACATACTTTCGTCGGCGATATCAAAGGCGCGTCATCCAATTCTGAAGAAGATTCGTCAGACGACGACTTTCTTGCAATGGCTAAGCTCAAATCACCTGTGTCATCAGTCTCCCGGGCTCAAGCATTGCTATCTCCTACAAAGTCGAGCCAGCAAGCTACTTCGGTACAGCTAGGCGACCAGAGCGGAGTGTCGCCAAAGGCCAAGAAATCAGCTGCTAATAACGCCAGCGGCGAAGCTACACATGGAGTGTCAGCGACAGAAGAGGATGAAAACGAGGTGTTTCATTTTGAAGAAGAAGGCTTACAATTACCTGAGCGGCCGCGTCAAACCCGAAATCTGGCCGCGCACATTGATCCCGACGACGGGCAATCCGACGACCATGATGAAGAGTCAAGTGGCACCCCCACTCCTCAACCGCTGAGTCTGTATGCCACATCGCCGGCAGTTCCAATTACAAGGCCAGTAAATCGAGACCGAGAGCAAGATCCTACGACACCTTCAAGGATCAAGTTTGAACCCAATACTGTCGGTTCTTACAAGGGCAGACCTTTAACGATTTCCATCCTGCGAAACCCCGAGATACTGTCCCAGCTGGAATCTGCTCAACCTGTCAATGAAGTTGTAGGTAGCGTTCATCACCGTGGCCCTGCGGATGCATTCAATCCAGCCAGTTTCCCAGAAGGCGCCGAACAAGCCATGGCCTTCAGCTCTCCAAGAAGCTTCAGTGAGCGGCTCATCATTGAAGACATGATGGAGGCAGCCAAAGCCAGATCTCTAGGTTCCGGTGCTGGACCGACAGAGCATGGGCAGTGATGAATTGTCAGGGCGGCTCTCTTTTACCTCTACTGTATTCAATTTAAGTTGTTCGTCTGCCCTTTAGGTCTTTTGTGGGGGAGGGGGGCAAGGATATAATCAAGGCACACAAGGAAGAAAGCGGCATTATAGAGGCGTTGAATTCTGGGAATTACTATGAATCATGGCGGAGTTAACAGACATAATGGCAAGGGCAACCATCGACCGACGTCGTTTTCCAGGGATGGATTTGTATCAATGACTGCAGACGGCATTTTCCGTCACATCATGCATCTATGTAGTGCGAAATATCTATTATCAGTCGCACCTAACTCACGAAACAATACACTAAATGCATTTTAACCAGGAAGGCATTTTACCTGTAAAACACCAGTCGTCCCAGCTGCCGCACCATATCGTATTTGAGATGACATGGAGTGAACCTCATGGTAGTATTGCATCGGGCCATGGGCGCTAACGTTATCGCTATCGCTGGAGGCGCCTGGTCAGCTTTGTACGGAGTACGGAGAGTGGACTGGTATTACTACCTAGGTACCTAGGTAGTGGGCTGATTGGGCCTTAACAACCTCAGCTGTACTTACTTTATGTAGCTTTCCACCCTCTGCAATCTCCATCCTGGACATACAACTTCACCATCAATCCCCGCAACATCGGTCCAATCCTCAATATCCAACCGCACACGCGGCTAATCACAATGGGCGGTCTAAACCTAGAGGTGTTCAAGGTAAATTATTTTGCGCATAGCCCCTTTCCCAAACGCCACAGGCTTTTTCAAATTCGTAACCGAAATTTCTTCCGGCACAGTTTGGCATGTATGTCATGTTTCCCATCGGCATCATGTACTACTTCGGCACGAATCTCGATGATCGCTTCTCGGTACCGAATTTCTGGCCGAGACCCGAAGAGTGCAATAAGCTTCCGCGCGACAGGGACGAAGTCAAGGCCGAGTATGAACGTATTGTTGCGCGACAGAGGTTTCGACAGGCCCAGCTTCAGGAAGAGCAGCGTCAACGGGCTTTGTTACAGGGAAACCGGAATAACGGAAGCGACTCTTGAAAAAAAAAAATGCTGCAGGGCCGATATGAATATATTGTTTGTGTGTGAAGGGTGATGGCTTGCGATTGTACGATATAGAATGCTTGCGACACTAGAAGGATGTGTACTACGATACGAACCATGCATGGAGCGGCGTTTGGAATCCCCCCTTGGCAAGGAAAAAATTATTGCCCATATTCTACTTGACATATTTAAAATTGTACATCCAGATCAAGTTTCGTCGCTACCGGGGTCGTGTTCATACATCTATGTGCCTCTCTACCCTCTCCCACTCTTCCTCGGTAATGCTACCTTGGTTGATGTTTGCAAAGATTGCTTTGACTTCGGGATACTCTCGTAGCCCAGTGAAAAGCGCATCTAAGCTTTCCACAGATTGCTCGGTGTCGATTGCAGTCTTGGTATCTTCATTTGCAGCCCAGATAATGTCCGATTCGACGACCTCGAGCCCAAATCTCTTCGAGAGTGCTTCTGTGATGGCCATCAATTGCGCTGGCTCTGTCAACACCAGCAAGTCCCCGTCTGGTAATTCTTCTACGTCGTCAGCTCCGTCGTGCTCAATCGCCTCTTCCAGAAGATCAGACAGTGTTGGTCCGCCCTCCTTGTTCCTGAATATTATTCGGCCGCGCCTCGAGAAGTAGAACGAAGTTGAGCCAGTGACGCCGCCAGCTTTTTTGACAACAAATTTGAGGTCTTGCAAGGTGCGGGTCTTATTGTCGGTTTCTATATCCGTGATCAGTGCAATATTAGGCGGCATGAGTACTTCGAGTGTCATTGATTCCAGTTGCGCTCCGGCTGCTGATCGGCCTTGGCCGCGGGCGATTGCTGCTTCGACAAGGGCCTTCGGAACGCTCGCTGGGGCAAATTGTTAGAAAAATAATATTCCCTGGGGTTTATCAGCGCATGGGAATTTGGGCAGCCGCCTTACTTGCCTTTGGTGGCCGCCGCTATGGCATTTGCTAGCTGTGGGTTAAATTTGACGTCTTCCCCGTACACTTTGAACAGTCATCAGCTCCTTCAACTCGACAAGGCGGGTTTGCAACGTTACTAACTTCGCGAGTACATTGCAATAAGCTTTGTGAATGCTGTTCGCTCCGCCATTTTCTTCTTATCCGTTACCGCCTTGATGTGTTTGGTCTTGGACCACTTATTGTGGCCTGCCAGCATCGTCTGGCTGGTGGAAAATGATCGCAGGCATCGTCGACAGAATTGGAGTCTTGCAGGCGGTCGGGACACAACTGTGGCAAGGGGTAGTGCTAAAGGAATATTTGCTATCGCCATGACGGTCTCCTATGAGAGCACTGCGTGGGTATTTCAAAATGTCTTGAAAGTCCCGTCAAACTCGGCAGAAAATGGGCAGCTGGGAGAGTTGGATATGCCTCTGCTGGGAAGTGCCTCCAAAGTCGCTGTCAGACTCGCTGTCAGACTCGCTGTCGCGTGCATTCGCCTGATGTCACTGATTGGCTGACAACATTGAAGCTCAGGCCCAAATGTCCAGTAAGCTCAGATGTCCACCAGACACATGCATGTCTCAACAGCTCCCCCGCCAGCTGGCCCAAGTCCACCAGACGCCTCCCCAAAGAAGCCTACCTACCCACCCTGCCCGCTTCAACCCCTTACCCCATAGACATTGACGGGTTGTTTACAGCTTGCTGAAAATCGCGATTCACCCGGCAAGCACATAGGACGTTGCCTGTCCCTATTACTCGCTCGTCATGTCGTCTAATTCAGAGCTCGAAGCTCCCACGGAGCAGCCACCAGCCCAGGCCTCCGCCGAAACGGCCGCCGCCACTGTCGAAGCCAAGATCACAACTCCCGAGCTCGACCTTCCCAAATTACAGGCCTTGCCAGCAGAACAACAGGAACTTTTTTTACTATCTTTTGTGTCAGATCTGAAAAGACATGTCCTGGGCCTGGTGGCCGACGATTGTACAGCTCAGCAGTTCTACTTGAAGAAGGAAATCTTCCAAATTATCAATCTAGCAACCCCGGCGCCGTCTCGAGTAATACGGAACAACTTGGGCAAATGTTTAGCTCATATATTCAGCAAGGGAGATCGGAAGTTGCTTTTTGAGACGATCAACGACTTGATCTCTGTCATAACGGGGAGCAAGGGGAAGTCTGATGGCGAGACTCGCTCTAAGCAAGCCGCCGTGTCTTGCTTGGGTGATGTCTTCGCGGCCGCTGGCGACAGTGCGATTGGTTTACATCAACTAGTTTGCACTACCTTGATTAAACTGTTGAAGGCTGCCTCCAACAATGCCGGTCTGCGTGCGGCTGTTCTTAATGCTCTAGCTAAACTCATCGCAATGGTGCAGGGCAGCATGGACGAAAGCATATCACGCGACATATGGAAACAAGGACGAAATCATGCTGCTTCTGATAAGGGGTCACTGGTGGTGGCTTCAGCATGCCGCTGCCTCAAATCTCTCGTCAAACATACTGCTTATTTCCGCAATTCGGCTGACCTTGATAAGTTGGAGAGTGCAATTCTCAAATCCGTCGAATCTTCTTCCATCCAGGTTCGACATGCAGCCGCGGATTGCTTCGCCGAGGCATTAGTTCAAGGCTACTCCCCAACTGGCAATGGTGAAGCTTCCAAGAGTAAGAAGACGAAACCGAAGCTGAAGCGCGCTTCCACCCACCCCGGAATAGCAAATATTAATGAAGACGAGGACGACCTTCCGCCAAGATCAGCAAGCCCAGCTCCTGGTGGCAAACGCATTCAGGACCTAGCCTTATCTGTGCCTGATATGCTCAAGATACTATCGACCCAGTATGTCAAGCAGAGTGCATCAAATAAGACCCGCGCCGCTATTGGTGTCTGTTACGGAAAATTGTTCCGTCGACTTGGGGAGCGGACAGTTCTCGCCAAGTATCTGCAAATTGTGGAAAGCTTATCGACTGAAATTTTGGGACACTCGACGATAACCAACAATCGATATCGCCTTTTGATTACTCGGCGGATAGTTGATACAGTTCTTTACGACGTTATTGGACGACAGATTCTCGGCGAATCTGGACAAATTTCCGCTGCCGAGGCTCTGGTTAACAATATTTTAAAAAACTATCCGCAGGCCCTCGCAGAACGTCCGGAACCTTCAAAACAAATGTTGATTATAGCTCTGCGAGCCGTGGCGTCTCTCATCACATCCCTCGGCTCGGCATCTAACAGGTTTGCTGAATCTTGTCGGGACGGGCTCTTGCAAGTTCTTCAGCATCCCAGCTACTCCGTTCAGGTATACGCTTCTTATTGCATGAAGGCTTTTGTTCTCGCCTGCCCTCAGCAACTACTTCCATGCCTTTCCGTGTGCATGAACAGCCTGGCTCGGGAACTCTCGCTTCTCAACGGTGGACGAAATTCACCAAGACGGTGTCTTGGATTTGCTCATGGGCTGTCAGCTACTCTCAGCACCAGCTCTGCTCGACCTCTATACGGATCCGTCGACATAAATAGCCGTGTTCTGACTATGGCCACAAACCTGCTCAAGTCGAGCAGTCAGTCAGAGTTGCGAATCTCCAGTATCCAAATCCAGGTTGCGTGGATTCTTATTGGCGGTTTGATGTCTCTCGGTCCAAATTTCGTCAAAATCCATCTATCACAGCTACTGCTTCTGTGGAAGAATGCGTTACCAAAGCCCCTTGCGAAGGACAATACGTCAGCCAGAAGTTTCCTTGAAGCTTCATTCCTAACTCATGTACGAGAATGCGCCCTCGGCTCTATCATGTCATTCTTGGAGTTTAATAGCCGCTTGTTGACAGTTGATGTATCAAAACGCATTGCCGCCATGCTTCAGAGTACGACAGCTTTCTTGAAGACCTTGCCCTCCAAAAAGACGACGGAAGACATATCGCAGAGGCTGACCCCCGCTCTTCAACTATATGATCTAGATATGATGGTTCAGCGCCGGGTACTGCAATGCTACATCAAACTGGTTAACCTGAGTCCTGCTGGGGGGAGTGAGGCTCTCTTGCAGTCAAATCTGCTAACTCTAGCCATTTCACTCTTTGCGGATCCGGAGAACTATATACCTAGCTCCCTCAGTGCGTCTATTGCAAACGCAGCTGGTACATTTGACTCTATATGGGATGTGGGTGACAATTCTGGCTTTGGAATCACCGGCTTAGTTTCCGGGTTCGACATTAAACAACTACCTGGTCAGCATGAGTCGTCCACTGGAACTGAAATTGAAGTCGACAGCCCAGAGGATTCCATCAACAAACTATTAAAGTCCCCTGTATGTGGAGGTCTTGAACATGACGCGTCGATGCTGTATATTGGAGGTGTGGGTGATTCTTCCATTCTCCCAGATCCACCGGCTACAGAAGTTATCAACAATGCCATTCAACTGTTCGCCTTTACATTTCCTCTCACGCCGGCCAAGGTGCAAGAGAGTGTTTTGGAACAAATAAAGACGTTCGCTTCGGCTGGTTTGCTGCAAAGAGACGCCGGTCGCAAGGCTGCAATTAATGTCAACGTTTCTCTTGCTATCCTTTCGAGCCTGAAGGTAGCTGTCAAAGAAACTCGATCCCCTGCAGGCAACGTCTCGAACCTGGCTGTAGAGCGCTTGTTGCAGGATATTGTTCGAGATATTGTTCTGGATCAAGACCAGTATGTCCGCAGTCTAGGGTATGAGTCGGTGGCAAGGCTGTGTAATATCTACGGCAACGCATTTACCAACCAAGAAATCAAGTATCTTGTCGATACAATTGTTGGTAACCGAGAACCAAGTGCAAGAGCTGGATGCGCAATGGCACTTGGTGCTATCCAAACCAAGGTTGGCGGCATGGCTGCTGGGTATCATTTGAAAACTATTCTTGGTATCCTGATGTCTCTATGTAATGACCCTCACCCGATCGTTCACTATTGGGCTCTTGAGGCTCTATCATTGGCCTCAGATGCCGCCGGGCTTAGTTTTGCGAGTTACGTTCCGAGCACATTGGGAATGCTGGCCCAACTATATGTTTCGGAAACACACCATGCCGAAATCTCCTCGGCTGTC